ATATCTTATTTGAATATTCTAAAGAATTATTTATAATAGAAAAAATCAAGAAAAATATATATGACTTATATATCTAAAGATATTAATTATAAATGAAATAGAATATAATCGTGCTAAAAAATCATTATAAATTCTAGAAATTCAAACTCTTTGCGATCTCTTCATAAATATTCAAAATCTATAGCTTCCCCAAGACCGAAGAGAATTCAAAATATTAATAAGGCAGAAAATATAATAGTAAGCTAAGAAAGAGATTCTAAAGAATCATAGAATTCCCATAATGACGAAATACAAAATATTATTTTTTTATTTTCAAAAATATAAATATCGATTTTAGGTATTAAATAAAAAAGACTAATAAAATAGAGAAATAAATATATTTCGAAATAAAGATAATAGAGATAGATAGAAATAGAAATAAGACCAATATATAGATAATATATATATATAGAAAAAATCAGACAGTTATACAAACTGGCATGGTTTTTCTACAATCCTTGACAGGGAAATCTGTGCTACTAAAAGCTTTCTGTGCCCACAACATATCGTCAAAAATTATGATCGCAAGAAACTCGCAATCAAAAGTCCATATAATAATTGTCGTCTTAGCATGCTTTGCCATGAACATAGCGGCTCTTGAGTTCACCACGAAAGGCTGAGTTCAAAAACCGATGTATCCCACATTAGATACCATGCGGCCGAGTAACTGCATATAGTCGTGAAGAAGCATATCCTTCTATATCATCAGCTCCGTGAGCTCGGAAATATAACAGCAATTTTGGAAACCATAATTTGGTTGGACACAGCTTGACACTGGATTTCAGTTTGTACCGGCACAATTTCGTCAATTCGTCATTAGTTCGTCAGTTCGTCAGTTCGTCATTATTTGAAAGACGTATCGCATAAAGTACGTCACTAGATGACGAAGTCGGGTTGGGCCAATGGCGAAGTGACGAACTAATGACGAAGCGTAATTGTGCCTCCATATGGAAATTGTTCGTAGCTGGCTCGACTGACTCCGACCATATATCGGTCGACTCCCTCGCCTGATATTGGAAACGGTCGTATTTAAATAGTTAGAAATAATGAACGATGCCACGGGAGCATCATGCCCATCAGGGGCTGCTGGGGGGCTGCGTCTTATGGAGCCGCCGATATCCGTGTCAATAATTGCTTCCTGATACGACCAATTGGAAACAGCTCCTTGCCTCTGCAATCTCCTTCGGATTATCTAGGGTCGTCTCAAAGGCCAGATTTAAAAATACGCGCAAATATATTCCCATCCAGATCCATAAAAAATATAGAGAGATACCTACATTCAGAAAGCACCGTACTAGAACTCGCGAAATAAAAATTTCGGATTAAAAATAGTAATATTATGAGTTTAATATCGCGAATTTACGTACCCAAAATGACAGAAACTTTATTACCGGGATCATACCCCCCCCCCCTTAAATAACCAAATTTACCGCGAGATTTCCTAAAACTACCACATTTTCGGAAATTTTAGTATTAAGACAGAAGAGCGGCGACCAATACGATACCGCTTTATAAGAGAATTCAATTAGTTTTGATAATAGAATAAATTGTATATAAATTTTCTAGTCATTAAAAATTATATAATTTAATAAAAAACGAATTCGTAGCTTAGTAAGTATAACTAATTCTTAGAGAATATAGACAGATCGCAAAGCGTAATCTTCTAGAAACTAAAGAAATATAAGATATTATAATTAGTAATAAATTGAAATAATAGATAAATTTTCGATTTATTATTCTAATAAACGAATTAAATATAAAAAGCAATATCAATATCTAATCAAATTTAAATATCTATTCTCGGTATATTCAGAAATACAGAGGTTGTCAGAATCAAGATTAATTCAATAGGACTTGCTTTGCTTTGTTTTGCCAGCTTTTGAGATCTTACGCAAACGGCGAATCAGATCGTAGATGACCTTTGCAAATCAAGGCCGAAATTGTCCATACCAAGTTGCATCATCAGTCCTAACGTCTTAGGCAATATATCGCCTCGAAATCTTGGAATTCTGCCAAGTTGCCACGCTCCCGATCACACCCATGCTCAGACGAATATCTGCCCCTGCAGCCTGTCGCACAGGTACCTTAGCATCCGAAAAAAATGAAACCTCCTGTGCCGGGTCATAGGAGAGGAGACAAGCAATGGAGAAAGGCAGGCATGGCTTCCGAGCTGCAGCTGCAGACATCTTGCTGTTTGCCAAACTGAATGCAAATCGCTTGCAGCTTGCACTTAAGTCTTCAGGAAATTTCACATCCAGCCGGAGATGCTCGGATTCGCGGGAAGCCAGCAATCCTCAGCAAGAACGGGAAACGGGCTAGTGATGAGCTTCGCCCTACTACATGATTGTGGTCGTCGTTCAGTTACTCCTCCCACCCATAATAGTGATATTCAGGGCGGCTTAATCTGAAGGTGGTGTGATGCTGTGTGGTGAACCAACCAACTGAATTGATTGACATGCTAACGTCCAGGCAATGTTGAAATGCCGACAAAAACGCTGCTGCTTCGGGAGAGCCCCAACGGCCCAATACTATGTTTTGTGCACAGGCCGCAGACAAACACCACATGTTGAGCAGCTAAAACTTTACCAAGGCCAGTAAGGCTCAAGTGTGAAGAAAGATCGGCCTGGAAGTCCTCCAGATCTTTACAGCAGTAACGCTGTGAGAGAATGGTCGGAAAGTCTGCCCAACCCTTGGCCCGGTTTCCATCGCGTCTGCCTTGCAACCGGAGATCGCTTTTCTACTCATTCCCAGCTCGGTCCAACATTCAAACGGGGCTGTAGATTGCTATGACCCCGTTTGCGGAGTAGCAATGAAGAACCCGCTTCTGGACGCAGAACGGAGGGTGACGGCAGCCAGGGTGCAGACTGCATAGCAGTCAAGACGAATGCTGAATAATCATGCAAGGCGATTTGCAGCCCAGAGTCCGACATCCCAAGCCAAGCGCCACAGGCGGGCACGGCGCAAAGTCCTCGAACAAATCCTCGGGATTCGATCGAGCAACATGCGAGATCTTGTCTGTGGCCCAAGGTTCTCTGCGACAGAGACGTGACGTCAGCAGGCTTTGCCTTTGCAGCAACAGCTGCCCACAGATGCTGCGGAAGACAACAACGAGAGAAATCAGCTTTCAGGCCACCGTGCTGCACCCCGGCACATTGACGGCTCGAACTGTCAGCTCACAAATATAGCCTGGACCAGTGAACACAATTGAAGACATAAACCATCCTTCCTGACTTCCACCACCCTTTCCGCTGCACGAGATCGAAGAATGAATGCAAGAAGCCAAAATAGAAAAGGCAAGCAAGCAGGCAGGTGAGCAATAGACTTGGCCCATGTCATGAACTCTGCTTCGCTTGATGTCCTCCCAGGCAGGTTTGGTTCCGTAAATACCCTGGGCCAAGGGGCAGCTTCCTGCTTCGCTGAGCCCATCATCTCCGGTCTGTCCGAATCCGAGTCCAAGGTCCAGACCTGCATCCCAGCCTTGGCGCTGCCGAGACGTCGGGAGGCGCCAGGCGCGAAAGTCGCCATTTCGGGACCTACATCGCTTCGAGCCCTCCGAGGCTCGCACCGAAGCGAGTCGCCGCAGCTCCGCCGCAGCGCCTGCAGCTCGCCGGATGCGGAGAAAGTCCTCTGCCTGGGCGGCACGGAAATAAGTGAAGCAGGGTCTTGATTGACGGAAAAGTTGTGCCACCCTAAACGAACACTGACGAGGCAGGTCCTGCATGGTCCTGTCGTCCTGTTGGCACACTCATGTCTAACCGGGCAGGGAAGACATCATGGCTTGATGACACTGGAACTCCAGGAACCATGCGCAAGCAGGGAATTCCGAACGCTCTCTTGACGACTCAGCACGACTACTTCAATTACCCCAAGAAGGTGACGGTCATCTGCTGCGCCGGCCTGCAGAGATGTTTTCAAGACGGCCGGGTCAGGCGGTCCAGGCGTATCATCACACAAGACGACCTCTGGAACACCTGTCACTGCGAGCTCAACCACACATCGGCAGCCAGTAAGCTCAAAATTTTGCCTGCTGGCTGTTGTGTTTTGCAAGCATGCGGTCCAGCTCGATATCCAGCGGGCAAGTGAGCAACAACTAGCAACTAGCACACACAGTCACCCAAGCTTTAGCTGTGGAACAGTTTTCGTCCAGAGGCTGCGTATACTTTGAGGAACATTTGTAACTCACTTGTTGTGCCTTGGTCTCCTCGAATCCTGGCGCATCCACAAGTTAAATATCCTGGAACACACAAGATGCCCAAGTATCCACAACGATCACTTCGGTCATTGGCTGAGTGGCGAATAATAAACGGACTATCGTAATGCCTGCAGCTTCACACGTCCGCAGCAAGCAGCCCACCTGCTCTCAGGCAAATAACGCAATACAGCAAGGGACCGGTAGGGGAAATCTAGGACCCAATGTTGCACGCCAATAAGAGAAAACGATTCGATCGATCATGGACAGCAGCATCTCGCATGTCTCACCATACATTCACATGGACCTTGCAGCACTGCACTGCGAGATTCAATGCATCGCATCTCACTGCCGTGCATCCTAGACCCGGGCGTTGCAACCTCGGGGACACTCCCAGCACCGACATCACATGTACCAGCGTCAACTTGATATCATGTCATAGATTCCATAGATCATGGGCCGTGCCATCAACGTCTGCATGTAGGGCCTCTTGCGGCGAGAGATCGGACAAGAGCACCGTGAGGGGCCGCCGGTCTCCTACTCCACTCTGAGAGCTTTGGGAGGTCATGGCTCTGACTACTGGACTTGACAGGGCTGCTGGGGGCCCTCCAAACTGTGCCCGGCCAGACGTCCGCCCGGACAAGCGAAAACACTACTGCAGCTCAGAAAGTTGCTTAACATGCGCACCTTTCAATGGCTGAACACACCCAGAACGCTGCTAGTCTCCAAGCCGAGAATTCTTTGGCACTGCAAGCCTTCTTTCCCGGCAATCTCCTGTTCAGGCAGAGAAAATGCAGGCACCCGGACCGGACCGACGTCGGCAGTGTCTTCAAAGAAATTTTGTGCAAAGCAATTTCAAGAGCCAAACTTGCACGGCAAAAGCAGTGGCCCAGCTCTAGCCACCCTTCGACACAGTCAGCGTAGTCTCTCTTTGAACGAATCGCGAATCGTGGTTCCGCCTTCACCATTGCCCAGCCTGCTCGGTGCGGTCCCAGTTCCGAAGTTCCACTGCTGCGTCTGCCCGGCCACGCTGCCACTCCTTGAGGTAGCACGTCATGAACCAACGGGAAAGCTTCGAGAAGTGAGTCCCATGGAGGCGTCACGAACGTATTTCATGGGAAACTAGTACCCCATACCCGGGTTTCTTCCTGTGATGGTGCGCTCAACACGCAGTCTTCAAGCCCCCTGAAGGGTGGAGTGCAGCAATGTCAAAACTGTTCCATGGTCGCAGGGGTTCAAGGTGAGTGAGAGCTCCTCGGCGAGTTTTCCCGCCACGCTTCGTGCAGCCCCTGGCACCATCGCCCGGCCCAGCTCCTTGAAACAAGGTGTAAGTTCGGACAACCACGAACAGCAAGCGCTAATCAAGCCTTAATGCTGGACGCATGGCGTTCGCAAAGCTCGAGCTCACATCAGGTCCAATCTTCGCTAACGACTCATAAAGCCGGAGGAGCACCTCATCATCTTCTGGCTCCAGAAAAGCTTGTGCCAGATCCCACGAACCCGGCACCTCAGCTGAAGACTGTTCCGGAGGGATGATCTTACAATGTCTTGCAATCACCCAACACTTCCCGTCTCAATCCACACTTGCCTTCTATACTGCTCTGATTGCTTCTACCCTTTGGTGGGGTCCATGGCATCACCCGTGGTGTGTCCTTTGCTTGTGGGGTGCGTACATGTGAGTCTTCAGGGCTTGTTGGGTGTTCTGAATTCTCCTCGCCTCTTGCCTCGGCAACTTCCTACAGCAAGAACGTCAAAACAGGCGCAAGGAATGACAGGGCTGTCGGAGGAAAGCACATCAGAGTACAAAGCGTAGCTGTACAGATTGCGCAGACTCTAAATCTACAAACCCTGCACTGGCATGCTGCACCCGAGGCACCTGACTGGGTAGGTCCTGATTCAGCTCCAGGCCCAGGTTGTGAAGCTCGCGGCACAGCCGTCCCAACCGCTCCTGCAAAGAACTGAAGGAATCTGGCTTTGAGCCTCCACCCAGATGTGGCTACATTGTGCCAACACTTTGGCCCCGCGGGCAATCGCAGTACACATCATGTAGGGGCGAGCCAAGCTTGGCAGCGAAGCCGAGGTCTGAACCGAAAACATGTAATCTCCCCGATGTTCATCTTAAGGAGGTGTAGATCAAGACAATCGCTAACCGCTCCCCAAGC